TAGCGAGGTTTAGCAAAGACAACACGACGTCAAAGACGACGCGAAAATGGCGTAAAAATGACGTGATATGCCCATCTATGGATGTGCCCACGCCATTTTTACGCCATTTTCACGTCGTCTTTGACGTCGCGTCGTCTTTGCTAAACCTCGCTAATGTTCAAGATGGCGTCGGCCATTTCAAACTTTATATTAAAATTTATATCATTGAACGGAGAATTTTAACACACCTAGGGAAGATATTTTGATGGGAATGTTCAATACACCTAGGGAAGATATTTTGATTGTTGGTGGTTTTCATTTCTGTAAGAATAGTGCAGAAATATTTTCCTGGGAGAAAAACGGTTGGTACCTGCATGTACACATCCTTCATTTGTTTGCAAAATCTCATGGGAGCGGAAGCGAACGAAGCCAAAGTCACGATGAGTCAAATGTTAGAGAAGTTTAATATGCTTGAACTGCTCAGCAAACTGCCATCTCCGACCGAGGGAAATATGTTCAATACACCTAGAGAAGATATTTTGATTGCTGGTGGTGACTGTGATAGCACAGAAGTATTTTCCTGGGAGAAAAATGGTTGGTATGAGATTTCCCAAACGAATGAAGAACATATGAGAGCTGCATCATTTATTTATAAAGATCAACTATTTGTTGTTGGGGGACTGCGTACTAAGACAATAGAGACCTTGGATCTCAATGAATTACCTTTGAAATGGATGGAATTTCCTGGCGAACTTCCTTATGAAAGTTATGGTCATCAAACTGTTGTTTGCCAACAGCGCGTCATTCACACTGGTGGATATAATAATGACGAGGATGAAAAGTCTAACGTGATTAGTGAATTGCAAGTTACTTCACCTCACACACTGAATGGGTTGTGCCAAATGCCCCAGCCACGAGATTGTCATGGCGCTGAGGTTTTTGAAGATAAAGTCTTGATCTTGGGAGGAGATGATGATAAGGAAGTTGCTTTAGACAGTATGTTGGAATTTGATCCAAAGAAGAATGAATGTAAGGAGCTGCCATCATTACCACATCCCCTGACAGAAATGGCAACAGTTCGCTGGAGAGATCAAGTTGTTGTACTTGGAGGTTGTGATAAGGACTATGTAGCTCAGAATGATGTTTTCATGTATGACTGCAAGACGGGCAAGATCACAGCCTTGCCATCCATGTTGGAGAAGAGATATAATTGTTGTGCAGTTATTACTGGAAATACAATTGTAGTCATGGCAGGTGAGAATGATGATGATCTCAGGTCAGTGGAGTGTTTTACAATGGGAGGTTCTACATGGATGTATCTTCTCAGCATGAATAATGCCAGGTACCTCGGTGTTGCTGAAGTTCTACCATCAACAAGGAAATATATCTAAGTTCAACATTTGTCCGCAAATTTGCATTAGAAGTTGGGATTTCTGACTGAGGGTAAAGTAATACGAATAACAAAGTTTCTCCAAGCAACATGCAAAAACTGATTCCAATGCCATGTGTTATGTTCAAAATATTTTTTCATATTTTCTTGTCCCATTTAGCTAAGTTTTGCCCAAATATTTTCATTAAACCAGCCTTTGTTGCCAGTTGAAGCCATTGTGTTGTTGCATTGCTATGTACCTAATGGCTCAAACAGGAGAAATAATATAGTAAAAAAATGCTAGTGATCTTAGAGAGCTGCTCCCATCGGTTAATTTTCGTCATCGATTAATCATTGTCAACAATCGATTAATATTGATTAATCGTATTGATAATTAATTTAAATATGACAAGCCCATGGTGGTTTGACAGGTTTCTAAATTGTAATTAAACTTTACTAAATTTTTGGTTGTTTCACCAGTCAGTATACATTTTAAATCTGGGTTTAAAATGAAAATTAATCTCAATTATAGATTGCACATGTTCTCATGCTCTTACACTTATAGGATTTAAGGCTAAGACTCTTATGGGTAATTGGTTTATATCTGCACGCCGCAATATTGGACGCAAATGGTAATAAATTATTCTAATAAAAGAACTTTAAATATGTTTTTGCAGTACTGGTAACCTGATCAGATTATGGTAAACTTTGCATGTTGCGACTGAAATTGATATTTGATCCACAATGTTTTGAATCAATTTGCCATTTAATGTTTCAATCACAATTTTGTACTCATTCCCGCATCACTCTGTGTGGTGTTATAGATGATCAGATTACTGTTAAGCATAATCGATTGTGGAAAAATGATTGATAGATCGATTGATCGGGAGCAGCCCTAAGTGATATACAGTACGATTGTTAGAAGTAAAAACATTAATTGACAAGTCATTATTTTGGGAACAAATCACATTTCACTTTTTGGCACTGAATTACTTTAGCACCAGTGCATTTCAAGAAAAGTAGACTGCACTTAATCAATCGATAGCTTAACATATCTGTGTCTTTCATGGAAAATAAAGTACATTTTTAATCATATAATCTCAGGTTTCTACAGAAATTGTTCATCTTGTCAGTAATAAGAAAGCTGTGGATACAACTACCTTTGCAGATACAACTACCTGAAAAATACAAGCAGAACTTCGTCGTTTCTGGCGAAGGTCCTTCGTCGTGAAGTTAGTAGCCATTAATCCTTGTATTTTTCACGTAGTTGTATCCCTATCAATCCCCAGCTTTCTCGTTTCAAAACTAGTTTCATATTATTCAGACATTGCAGAGAACACTTTTCCTTGTATACTCTGCAGTGTCAGAATATCATGGAACTACAATCTTGGCAAAAAGTTAATGAAACGCCTATAAAAAATCAATAAAACAAACAAAATCCCCTCCCCCTGCACAATGTTGGACATAGATTCTAAAAAATTGTGTACAATATAGTTCATCGATGGCAGAGAGCACTATGTGTAGGTTTCTTGCTCATCTTAATCAACATTGGAAGGGGGGAAGAATAAATTAAATTGTTAATCAAACTGGATGTTTCATTAGTTTTTGCCAGGATTGCAGTTTTTCTTATGTCTGAGGATGGTTCTGAAATAGAATTGTTCATATCTAGTCTTGCTTTAATGTACAGTCGAACAACTCTTTTTGGCAACTCTTGTAAGCAAACATCATTATTTCAAACTTAAAATTATCATGGAACGGAAATGAGAATTTGTACTCGTATACATGTAAGTCGTATGTAAATTGCATACGTGTTTTTTGTAAGATATACATGAACATGTATACTTGCTGTACAAATTATGTCAGTAGACACAAGTGGTTGTATGTCTTTATGCAGCACGGACGCTAATACCGTAAATAGCTTGTCATTCATCTAATATTCTTCAATAATCTGAAAAACACAAATGACATTTGTGAGAAAAATTAATTTAAATCAGCAGGATTTTGTATCAGGCGTCAAGCCCCTTCATAGTCATTATTTACTTTGCGTTTTGGTTTTGGAATTCCATTTCATCATAAAGCTGGAGTAGTACTATTCATATTTCAAAGCGAATTTTGACTCTGCGTCATAGAAACAGTGGCGGAAATCTTGGTGGGGCGGGGGGGCACCTTCACGGATAATTAACGAATTTTCGGAAATTTCGACCTAAAAGAGGGCTAAAAACAGTCTTTTCAAGTGCAAATGGGGGGTATGTCGGAAATTTGAATGTTTTGTCGGAAATTTAGGAGGCTTTGCCACCCCCCCCCCTCCCGGAAAAAGTGAATTTCCGCCTGATAGAAATTACGTAGACATCCTACTTTTGGGTTATCGTTCCATGTTTCGCGCACCAATATAAGTTAGGGTTAGGTATTAGGGTTAGGGGTTAGGTTTAGGGTTAGGGTGTGTATATAGGTGTATGGAGGTATCCAGTTAACTTTTCAGTACGCTATGATATCCATTACATAACGTTTACTATGAAACATGGAACGATTACCAACTTTTGTATGGGAAGTATTATTAGCAATAGTGAAGTGTTGTCACATGACCTTTGATCATATGATGTCATGTTTCCAAGTATTTGTTGCATAATCAGGTTTAGCCTGCACGTGGGCTAAATCAAGGTTTTGTTGTATAAATGTTATTGCAAAATACCAAAAAGGTCCAAAATCAAACCACAGCGAAGGCGGAAGTGTTTCAAAATTCGTCTTTCTTGGTTTCGATGTATTGGCTTCACAATGTAAGATAAACCTTACAAAAAATATCATTATTAGTATATCCATTCTTACAATGGAAAGCAGAGCAAAGTAATGTCAGCCTCGTTGTCAGCTGTAAATAATGGCCTGTTGCCTGACGGAAAAGGAATATGGCTACGACGATAGCAGGTTTGAGAAAGATGTTGATGAAAATTTTCATTGCTCGATCTGCTACAATGTTCTTAAAGAACCAAGGATGTGTAGAAATAATGAACACGTCTTTTGTCTTTCCTGTATCAGTGAACATCTGAAAGTAAATTCTCAAACTTGCCCCGAATGTAATGAACATCTGAGTGTTGATACGCTTCGTCGGCCGCGTGTGTTGAATAATTATTTGTCTAAGCTAAAGATTAATTGTGATCATGCCAGTCGAGGATGTCCTGAGTTAACGTGTGTTGAAGGTCTCGAAACTCATGTTGCCAATTGTGGCTTTGCGCCTGTGTTGTGTTCAAATGCAGAGTGTGGTATGGAGATTAATAAAAGGGACAAGGTCTATCACGAGACTGAAGTTTGTGAATATAGGAAAGTGAAATGTCATGACTGTGGACAGATACAGGAAGTTGTAGGAAGATTGGAAGGGAAAGTGGAAGCAGTGATAGACAGCAATGCTGAAGTTAAGAAAGAAATAAAAGATGTGAAAGAAAATCTTTCCAAAGTGAACAAAGACGTGGACGAAGTGAAAGTCATGATGAGTCAAATGTTAGAGAAGTTTAATATGCTTGAACTGCTCAGCAAACTGCCATCTCCAACCGAAGGAATTTTCAATGCACCAAGGGAAGATATTTTGATCGCTGGTGGCTTGTGTGCGGAAGATGGTGCAGAATTATTTTCCTGGGAGAAAAATGGTTGGTATCAGATTTCGCAAATGAATCAAGGGCACATTGCGGCTTCATCATTTATTTATAATGGTCAGTTATTTGTTGTTGGGGGAGATGATACTAAGACAATAGGAACCTTGGATCTCAATGAATTACCTTTGAAATGGGTTGAATTTTCTGACAAACTTCCTTATGAAAGTCATGATCATCAAACTGTTGTTTACCAACAGCGTGTCATTCACATTGGTGGATATAATGGTGACGAGGATAAAAAGTCTAACGTGATTAGTGAATTGCAACTTACCTCACCTTGCTTACTGAAAGAGTTGTGCCAAATGCCCCAGCCACGAGATTGTCATGGCGCTGAGGCTTTTGAAGATAAAGTCGTGATCTTGGGAGGAATGGATGACAATGATGTTTTAGACAGTGTGTTGGAGTTTGATCCAAAGAGGAATGAATGTAAGGAGCTGCCATCATTACCACATCCCATGCATGGAATGGCAACGGTTTGCTGGAGAGATCAAGTAGTTGTACTTGGAGGTCGTGATAAGGATGACCAAGATCTAAATAATGTTTTCATGTATGACTGCAAGACGGGCAAGATCACAGTCTTACCATCCATGTTGGAGAAGAGATATGAATGCTGTGCAGTTATTACTGGAAATACGATTGTAGTCATGGGAGGTGACAAAGATGATGATAATGATCTCAGTTCAGTGGAGTGTTTTCTAATGGGAGGTTCTACATGGAAGTATCTTCCCAGCATGAATAACGAAAGGTCCGAAGCAGTTGCTGAAGTTCTACCCTCAACAAGGAAATGTGTGTATGTTTGACATTTTAACAGTGTATGCAAATTTATATTAGATTGTTTTGTTTAGAGGTGAAATTCCACACATTTCTCTACCTGAGCTGAGATTTCTGACTGAGGGTAAAGTAATATGAATAACAAAGTTTCTTCAACATACAAAAGTTGATTCCAACGCCATAGTATGATCAAAATGTTTTTGCTTATTTTCTTGTCCAGTTTAGCTAAGTAATTATGTCCAAACAATTTCTTTAAACTAGCCTTTGTTGCCAGTTGAAGCCATTGTGTTGTTCGTATTGCTATGTTAGTTGGCTGACTTGGCTCAAACAGGAGAAAATGTTTTCAAGTCAAAAAACGGCTAGTGATATGCAGTTGTTAGAAGTAAAAACACTAATGGACCATTTGCATTATAGACTAAATTTTGATCTAGACAAAAATTTCATCACAGCTTGAAAGAGCATCACAAAATTAGTAATATAATTATATTAATTCCAAAGTTTCGTTGCGAAATGTTGTAAAATGTGGATAATATAGCCTTGCGAATTTTGCCGTTTTTCAGTTATTTTGTATTACAAACGGGAAATTGACAGCCCAATCGGGTGTTGGGGCATCAATTTCCTTTTTGTAATACAAAATGACTGAAAATTGCAAATTTCGCAAGGCTATATTATCCGCATTTTAGGGACCGGTCATTATTTATGGCGGGGGGTGGCACCGAAGAGAAATGTTTTTCGTAGCAAAAATTTTGCTGACCCAACCATTAAAAAGTAAACAAAATTGATTACCCAACCTCAAATATCAATTAAAAAATAAATACCCACCCCTGGCCAAAAAATTTACAAAAGGTACTATTCAGTTGTCACATATGTCCTTTACCACTTCTGTGACATAAGTTTGATAATGGATTGCAAAATTTTCTGCAGTCTGAAGTTTCATGTTGTCTGCACATGTAGCTACTTTCTTTGGAGATACCATCGGAAATTGATCAAAATAATGACTCTGATTGATGTATACTTTTCGTTGTTTCTTTACACATTTAGTAAATCTTAGTATAACACCAAGTTCATCAATTGCTGCTATTTTGCTAGCAAATCCATGTATAATAAACCCGGGTGTTTTGCAATCAAAAGTGATGCAACCTGGATAGTGGAATAAGTTGATTACTGTAGGCACAATTTTTGGCCACTTAATAGTCAAAGGTCATGCATAAATAAGAACAGTCTTTAATATTACCGCCTTACGGAGACTTTATATTAATTGTGCTACTCGAGGATCTAGAAGGTCCTAGAAGAACCATAGGTCCCATACTCGACTAGCAACATAATCAAGTTAGTTATGTTAATTCATTATATATAGGATCAATGTTAAAGGCAAGGTGGGCTATAAGCTATAATCATTTGTATGGCTTATAGAAGGCTAATTGCCGTGAATAAATTGAATAATGAATGTAGCACAATATTAAATAGTTGCATGATGACGTCAAAGAAACTAGTCAGACTACATTTGCAAGTTTTGCAACTCTCATCGCTTAAATTCCCCATACCTGAATACAAAATAAACAGTAAACAACGATTACCTTTTACATACCATATATAAAACGGAGTTTTCATCCTTTCTAGAAACTCACTTCCTGAACTTTTGAGCGCAAATGTAATGTATTAAAAATGTATATCATATTCACAGCAGTTAATACCATTAATATATCGCGGGCGCAATACAAAACAAAACACGAGAATTTTAAAATGTTTTGATTTGCAAATAAATAAATAATATTTGATGTCATAAAAATTTTTAAATTTAACTCAACACAAACTGGTAAGTTCATGACATGTATAATTTACTTATATGTTGTTATATTGCAATTCTGTACCCTACTCCTTTGAAAATTGTTTGCAATTGCATATGATGTGAACATGTGGTCATGTATTATAGTTGTGTCATGGATTTAATAATACCCCAATGGCTTCGAAATAGACAATGGATGGAAAAAGTCATGAATATTGAACTTATTTACCCTTTAAACACTTGATCGTCATGCGCATACAGTGTATTGTTTGTTTCCAGAACCCCCTCAAGCAGACTTCAACTTTTTTTGTTAAATTGTATATTTTGCTTCATACACTGCATGTGTGTGTGTTTGTGGGAACACTCATGTTTGGATGCTTGGCGTAGGTTAATGGTAATTTCATTGGAGTCATCAGGGATATAGTTGTATATTCCTGAAATTACCTCTAAACACCTAAAACAGCATTCCCTAAAATTTTAATTGTTTTCTTACATTGCCCTATATCGCTCAAACTCGCATTGCTTAAATTGCAGATTTTGCTTAAATCACCTAAATTTGCTTAATTAAACTTGCATTATCTCGTTATCGCCCCAGAGTAGGGCCTACTGTTGCCATTGCTTTTTAGTCCCCAATACTTCAGTGAGTCATGCTTTGGAAATGACAATAATTTTTTATTACCCAACCCTTGAGTTGTTTTGTTTTTCATTTACCCAACCTTTTACTTAGTCAAAATTTAGTTTACCCAACCCTTTTCTCTTCGGTGCCACCCCCCACCATAAATAATGACCGGTCCCTTACAACATTTCGTAACGAAACTTTGGAATATTACTAATTTTGAGATGCTCTTTCAAGCTGTGATGAAATTTTTGTCTAGACTTGTCTAGATCACAATTTAGTCTATAATGCAAATGGTCCATTGACAAGTCCTTATTTTAGGGGCTAAGCACATTTTACTTTTTGACACTGAATTACTTTAGCACCAGTGTATTTCAAGAAAAGTAGACTGCACTTAATCAATCATAGCTTACAGTCAAATCTGGTGTTTCGTTGCCAGCAATATTGCAATATTGTCACACATTGCAATATTGACCGGCTGATTGCTCTAGCAAATTGCAACCAACGCGGATAAATTGCAATTTTTACTTGTTGACAATTTGTGGATTTCAAGTATTTGATTGGCTTGTTTTGTACTAGTAGCCAATCGGGCTTTATTTACAAAGTTGCTTCTGAATCATATTATAAACTTTTGAATTTTGCAGTTGACGGTTTAATACTGTTACCATATGTAAAAATTGCAATTTGTTTGCGTCGGTTGCAATTTGCTAGAGCAATCAGCTGATCAATGGAATACCGGATTAGACTATAACATGTATGTCTTTCTTTGAAAATAAAGTACAATTTTTGATCATATAATCTCAGGTTTCTACAGAAATTGTTCATCTTGTCAATAATAAGAAAGCTGTGGATACAACTACCTTTGCAGATACAACTACCTGAAAAATACAAGCAGAACTTCGTCGTTTCTGGCGAAGATCCTTCGTCGTGAAGTTAGTAGCCATTAATCCTTGTATTTTTCACGTAGTTGTATCCCTATCAATCCCCAACTTTCTCATTTCAAAACTAGTTTCATATTATTCAGACATTGCAGAGAACACTTTTCCTTGTAGACTCTGCAGTGTCAGAATATTATGGAACTAGTTTTTCTTATCTCTGAGGATGGTTCTCAAATAGAATTGTTCATATTTAGTCTTACTTTGATGTGCCTATGATACGAAATTTCACCCCAAATGTTTATGATTGCATTGTAAAGATCACTTAAAATGACTTAATAATTTCCTTTATAGAATTTTGGTAACTTGCTTCCTTTGCAAGATATTCAACTTTGTTTCATATGCAAATATCACCGGTGTGACATCACATCGCATAATGACATTTTGAAAACGCAGTATTTTATCTTGATGAAATATTTTTACAAACAAATACAGTAGGTTAATTACCAGTTATGAAATTAATACATATACAAGGGGCAATTTTTAAGTTTTTTAGATACGTATTCGTCAAGAAAACTATAATTTTCTGAAACTCATTGTGTGATGTGATGTCACACCGGTGATATTTGCATATGAAACAAAGTTGAATATCTTGCAAAGGAAGCAAGTTACCAAAATTCTATAAAAGAAATTATTAAGTCATTTTAAACTTGGTAAAAATTGAGACACTGTGTATAAAATACCTTTTTCGATGAAACTTGATCGTGCTTCTCCGCCATACTTGTTACCAGGCCTTTAATGTCAAAAACCGCGCAAATTTTCAAGATGGCGGATGTCAAAATTTCCCGACTCTGGGAGTTGATGCATAGGTCAAATTCCCCTCCCTGGTGCTTCACAGTGTGGTCAAAGTCCCCTGGGTCGCCCCCCTCAGGGGGAAAACAATGATAGGTGCATTAATGTAAGCAAACGCCACTTGTTGACTTTCAATTCGTGCCAGAGGACCTATAGTTGCATTTTTCACAACTGGATGCTCCTGCATGGTTAGGTCTGAAAATTATATATAATTTTCCGCTTGACATTGCCATCTTTTAATTCGTCGACATAATCCTTGGGCCCAGACCAAAGATGTATACATTATAAAAATAATGAATATTTATGATTGCAATGGTAAAAATATTTTCGTGATGTGAAAGATGGAATTTTCCATTCCACTCGGCAGTCACCGAATGAAAATATTTTTATTATTACACGAATGAAAACATCCATCATCAAAATAAATCAACTTTTGTTGAAATAGATGCAAAACCTTACTAATCTTGAGCTCGGTTTCGAATTCATCAGGCCCCCGTGTGATCGAAGCCTGATAATATATTTTGCTAATTAAATATTATAATATGTCTAGTATTTATGCCAAACCGGTAAATTTAACAGCAGTTCGGTCTGGCAATTGCTTGTGATTTGCCGCTATAAAACAAGTAAGCGAAACATTTATACTTCGGTTTAAAACATTTTGTAAAACACACTTTGCAAGCTCCATCCATACCCGACGCGCTCAGAGGTCGAGATTTCTTGATTTTGAGTTTCCACTTTGACACGACTACCTTATTTGAATTAGCTGGATACCGATTGAGTAGGAACCTGGAAAACTAAGCAGTCCCCCCCCAATTTTTCTCCCGGGGGGGGGGGGTAGCCCCCTAAAGTAAATGAAATATATATGCCGACTACTGTAGATTTCTATATATATATCATATGTTACATGAACAGTGATATAGAAATTATAGTAGAAAAGATAGTATTTGAAATAGGTCTTCTTTCTTTTCTAAGAGTGTGAGCTGTTTTCCATCCGCAGATAGTTTTATTCTTGGATTCAATTATCGTTTATGTGTTGGATATTATAAATACTACCGAAACCGAACATATCAGGTAAATGAACCAAATTTTGTTGCCAATATTTTGCGGCACAAACTCTTTAATTTGAACCAGATTGTGTAGCATTGCCTTGCCCATTTTTTAAAGCATTGCCTTCCCCATTTTTTAAGCATTGCCTTGCCCATTTCCCCCTAGTTTCAACAGTGCCCTCCTCGAATTCGCCCCACCCCCGCCTCAACTTAAAATATCCTCCTACGCCACTGCTGCATACCTCCGCATTAAGTAAATAATGATTTACATACAGTATACAAAAGTCAACACAGATACAGACTGTTTCACATTGTTTAACATGACTTGCGCGACGGTTATGACTAAATGGTATTACCCACAATGAACTATGTGTACGAAAGTCTGTTCGTACGCCAAAACCCCAATATACAGAAATGGCAAGACAGTTATGTATGATGTAGATTCAAAATTGGTTGCAACCTGCTGGTTGAGTTATGCAGTCTGAGTACGCTCTTGTGATTATGTATTGTGCTCAAATAAAGAAAACTTATATGGTGCGGAAGTTTTAATCATATGATTTCATATTTCCAAGTATTTTAAATAATCAAGGTTTTGTTATTGCAAAATGTGAGCCTAAGTGAACAGGGAAGATCTTAAAAACGTCGCCTGTTTCGTGCTCTTGATTTATTTGTTTTACAATGTAAGATAAATGTGATAAAAGAAGATCGCTTGTATATCTATTTGTACAATGGAAAGTAGAGGAAAGTTTTGTCAGCTGTAAAGAATGGCTTGTTGCCCGACGGAAGAGAAATATGGCTACGAACATAGCAGGTTTGAGAAAGATGTCGACGAAAATTTTCATTGCTCTATCTGCTACAATGTTCTTAAAGAACCAAGGATGTGTAGAAATAATGAACACGTCTTTTGTCTTGCCTGTATCAGTGAACATCTGAAAGTGAATTCCCAAACTTGCCCCGAATGCAACGAACATTTGAGTGTTGATACGCTTCGTCGACCCCGTGTGTTGAATAACATGTTGTCTAAACTGAAGATTAATTGTGATTATGCCAATCGAGGATGTCCTGAGTTAAATTGTGTTGCAAATCTCGACACTCATGTTGCCAATTGTGGCTTTGCACCTGTGTTGTGTTCAAATGCAGAGTGTGGTATGGAGATTAATAAAAGGGACAAGGTCTATCACGAGACTGAAGTGTGTGAATACAGGAGAGTGAAATGTCATGACTGTGGACAGATACAGGAAGATGTTGGAACATTGAAGGGAAGGTTGATGGAACTGGATGGGAAAGTGGAAGCAGTCATGAGAGACAGCAATGCTGAAGTAAAGAAAGAAATAAAAGATGTGAAAGAAAATCTCTCGAAAGTGAACAAAGACGTGGACGAAGTCAAAGTCATGATGAGTCAAATGTTAGAGAAGTTTAATATGCTTGAACTGCTCAGCAAACTGCCATCTCCGACCGAGGGAATGTTTAATACACCTAGGGAAGATATTTTGATTGCTGGTGGTTGTGGTGCGCGCGATAGTGCGGAGATATTGTCCTGGTTGGGAGAAAAATTGTTGGTATGAGATTTCCACAATGAATGAAGGATATACTGCAGCTTCATCGTTTGTTTATAATGATCAGCTATTTGTTGTTGGGGGATGCACTATTACTAAGACAATAGAAACCTTGGATCTCAATGAATTACCTTTGAAATGGATGGAATTTTCTGACAAACTTCCTTATGAAAGTGATGATCATCAAACTGTTGTTTACCAACAGCATGTCATTTACATTGGTGGACATAATGATGACGAGGATAAAAAGTCTAACTAAAGTGAATTGCAACTTACTGCACCTTGCACACTGAAAGAGTTGTGCCAAATGCCCCAGCCACGACATTGTCATGGTGCTGAGGCTTTTGAAGATAAAGTCTTAATTTTGGGAGGAATGGATGATAATAATGATGTTTTAGACTAAAATTATCGTTGAATTGAGTTGAAATAAGAATTTGTACTCGTCAGTACATGTAAGTTGTGTATGAATTGAGTACGTGTTTTTTTGTAGTATATTAACTGTGACAGCATGTATACTCGCCGTACAAAATATGCATACACAAGCCGAAGGCGAGTGGTAGTTGTATGTCCTTATGCAGCACACACGCTAATGCCGTAAATAGCTTGTCATTCATCTTCATAATATTCTTCAAGACCTTCAATAATCTGAAAGACACAAATGACATTTTGTGAGAAAAAATAATTTAAATCAGCATGATTTTGCATTAGACATTATGCCCTTCCTTATTTAGTCCTTATTTACTTTGTGTTTTCTTCATAAATTATTAACGAGAACGTGAGTATAATTGTTCTTCATACATAAAGCTGGAGTGAGGGTCTTAATGGGGGTCTTTGGGTGTCAGTTGTCAGCTAAAATTTAAGCCAGTTGTCAGTTGTCAGTGCGATATATTGCAAGCTGTCAGTAGTCAGTTACTGCAAAAAAGCTGACTCATAATTTTTTCCATCATTTCTCAGTTGTCAGTTAGGATATTTTGTCAGTTGTCAGTCAAAAATTCAGGCAAATGTCAGTAGTCAGTTAACCCCATTCAGACCCTCTGGAGTAGTATACTATTCATATTCGAAAGAGCGCTTTGACTCGGGTATCGTAGAAATTATCAGCAATAGTGAAGTGATGTCATGACCTTCGAACATGATGTCATATTTCCAAGTATTTGTTGCATAATCAAGGTTTTCTTATTGCAAAATACCAAAATCAGACCATAGCGAAGGCGGAAGTGTTTCAAAACTTCGTCTGTTTCTTGGTTTCGATGTATTTGCCACACAATGTAATATAAACCTTACAAAGAAATATCATTGGTATATCTATTCTTACAATGGAAACCAGAGCAAGGTTTTGCGGTCAACTGTAAATTAATGGCTTGTTCCCGACGAAAAAGGAATATGGCTACGAACATAGCAGGTTTGAGAAAGATGTCGACGAAAATTTTCATTGCTCGATCTGTTACAATGTTCTTAAAGAACCAAGGATGTATAGGAATAATGAACACGTCTTTTGTCTTGCCTGTATCAGTGAACATCTGAAAGTGAATTCGCAAACTTGCCCCGAATGTAACGAACATTTGAGTGTTGATACGCTTCGTCGACCCCGTGTGTTGAATAATTATTTGTCTAAACTGAAGATTAATTGTGATTATGCCAGTCGGGGATGTCCTGAGTTAAACTGTGTTGCAGATCTCGACACTCGTGTTGCCAATTGTGGCTTTGCGCCTGTCTTGTGTTCAAATGCAGAGTGTCGTATGGAGATTAATAAACGGGACAAGGTCTATCACGAGACTGAAGTTTGTGAATATCGAAAAGTGAAATGTCATGACTGTGGACAGATACAGGAAGATGTTGGAACATTGAAGGGAAGTTTGGTGGAACTGGATGGGAAAGTGGAAACAGTGAGAGACAGCAATACTGAAGTAATGAAAGAAATAACAAATGTGAAAGAAAATCTTTCCAAAGTGAACAAAGACGTGGACGAAGTCAAAGTCATGATGAGTCAAATGTTAGAAAGGTTTAATATGCTTGAACTGTTCAGCAAACCGCCATCTGCGACCGAGGAAGATATTTTGATTGCTGGTGGCTGCGGCTTTTATACGAAACATAGTGCAGAAATATTTTCCTGGGAGAAAAATGGTTGGCATGAGATTTTGCAAATGAATAAAGGACATATTGGAGCTTCATCATTTATTTATAATGATCAGCTATTTGTTGTTGGGGGATTTACTAAGACGATAGAAATCTTGGATCTCAATCAATTACCTTTGAAATGGATGGAATTTTCTGACGAACTTGCTTATGAAAGTTATGACCATGAAATTGTTGTTTACAAAAAGCGTTTTATTCACATTGGTGGATATAATCGTAACGAGCATAAAACGTCTAACGTGATTAGTGAATTGCAACTTACCTCACCTTGCACACTGAAAGAGTTGTGCCAAATGCCCCAGCCACGAGTTTGTCATAGCGCTGAGGTTTTTGAAGGTAAAGTCTTGATCTTGGGAGGAGAAGATGATAATGGTGATGTTTTAGACAGTGTGTTGGAGTTTGATCCAGAGAAGAATGAATGTAAGGAGCTGCCATCATTACCACATCCCATGAAAGAAATGGCAACAGTTCGCTGGAGAGATCAAGTAGTTGTACTTGGAGGCCGTGACTTGAAGTGTCAATGTGGTGAGGATGGTTAAGCTCTGAATGATGTTTTCATGTATGACTGCAAGACGGGCAAGATGACAGCCTTACCATCCATGTTGGAGAAGAGATCTCATTGTTGTGCAGTTATTACTGGAAATACAATTGTAGTCATGGGAGGTGAGAGAACTGAGAATGACTATACTGTTTATCTCAGCTCAGTGGAATGTTTTACAATGGGAGGTTTTACATGGAAGTATCTTCCCAGCATGAATAAAGAAAGGTCCAAAGCAGTTGCTGAAGTTGTACCCTCATATTACATCGTTTTGTTCAGAGGTAAAATTCCATGCATTTCCCTACCTAAGCTGGGATTTCTGACTGAGGGTGAAGTAATACGAATAACAAAGTTTCTCCAAGCAACATGCAAAAGCTGATTCCAACACCATGTTATGATCAAGATGTTTTTGCATATTTTCTCATCCCGTTTAGCTAAGTTATGCCCAAAAAATTTCTTTGAATCAGCCTTTGTTGCAGTTGAAGCCATTGTGTTGTTCGTATTGCTATGTACCTTGGCTCATAAACAAGAGAAATTATTTTCAAGTGAAAAACTGCTGGTGATACATAATTGTTAGAAGTAAAAACATTAATTGACAACTCCTTATTTTGGGGCATAAGTGCACATTTCACTTTTTGACACTGAATTACTTTAGCACCAGTGTATTTCAAGAAAAGTAGACTGCACTTAATCAATCGATAGCTTAACATATGTATGTCTTTCATGGAAAATAAAGTACAATTTTTAATCAGATAATCTCGGGTTTATACAGAAATTGTTCATCTTGTCAATAATAAGAAAGCTGTGGATACAACTACCTTTGCAGATACAACTACCTGAAAAATACAAGCAGAACTTCGTCGTTTCTGGTGAAGGTCCTTCGTCGTGAAGTTAGTAGCCATTAATCCTTGTATTTTTCACGTAGTTGTATCCCTATCAATCCCCAGCTTTCTCATTTCAAAACTAGTTTCATATTATTCAGACATTGCAGAGAACACTTTTCCTTGTATACTCTGCAGTGTCAGAATATTATGGAACTAGTTTTTCTTATCTCTGAGGATGGTTCTGAAATACAATTGTTCATATTTAGTCTTGCTTTAATATGCAGTCGAACAACTCTTTTTGACAGCTCTTGTAAACAAACGCCTCTTGTTGAGTTTCGATTCCTGTCAGAGGACCTATAGTTGCATTTTTCGCAACTGGATGCCCTTGCATGGTTAGATCTGAAAATTGTGTATAATCTTCTGCTTGATATTTCCACCTAGACCCCCTCTTTTGTTAATTAGTCGACATAATCATTGGGCGCGGGGCAAAGATGTGCAATACATTATGGTGATCGTACAAATAATGAATATTTATGATTGCAATGGTAAAAATATTTTCATGAGGTGAAAGATGGAGTTGTCCATTCCACTTGGCAGTCACCGAATGAAAATATTTTTATTATTGCGCGAATGAAAACATTCATTATACCAAAATAAACCAACTCTTGTTGAAATGAATGCAAAACCTTATCAATCTTGAGCTCGGTTTCGAATTCATCAGGACCCAGTGTGATCGGAGCCTGGTAACCATGATTGCATTATAATTAACCAGGCGTTATGTAGTCATGGCAATTGCGTAATGTCAAATAATCTGTCAATATATTTTGTGTTTTGTTTGCTGTGAAATTTTATTACGTATCGGTTAAGGCTGATTTCCACTGTTGCGTTTTTCGTGCGCACGTAAAACTTGAATCCTTCTATTTTTTAAATATTTTACAAACAAGTTAACAAATGCATACTAAAGCTTGCGGAACACTAAATTCTGTTGCTTTATTTATTTGGTTATTTCACAAGTAACATTTAAACGGATTTAAAGTTTTACGTGCGCATACGTACGTATGAAAAACGCAACAGTGGAAATCAGCCTTTACCCTGATATGTAGTTATAAGACAATCCAATTCTCTGCAATTCAATCCAACAATATGCACGAATACTTGACATTCTATAGTAAAGCAAGGTTTCTGCATGTTTAGTTGCCCACACATCAAGGTTGCAGATAAAATGAAATACCGATACATTAATTAACGTTGTTCTTTCAAGGTAGACCAAGGTAAAAACTGAAAGTGCTGAAGTGCAAAAACTTGTACTCTAAGCGTGAAAAATATACTCGGCGTGTTTATTTATTTGCATCAGTTAGCGTTGTTGTTATTTTTAGCTAACTAAGTATTTTAATCATGTCTATAAACAGGTAAGGGACCATTCATTATTTATGACCGGGGGTGGGCTGGCAAAATTCAATTAATATAACTAAACAAAATGTCCTGACCCACCCCCTGCATCAGAAAAATAATCAATGACCCCCTTCACACGAATGATGAATTCTAAAAAATAATAACACCCCCCCGAAGTACTGTATGGAGATGCACTCTTTAAACTTGTTCGGTAAATTGGTAAAATGCAAATCGTCTGGCATTAAACAAGTAAAAAAATAAGTAC